ATCAAATTTATTCCTAAAGATATTTCTCTTCATGCCTCTGTAAACACTGCCAGCAAGCTTCCCACTGCAGCTTTATGCAGGAAGTCTGGAAAAGGAATGACTCAGAAGTCTGAAAACTGTTGAATAGTTTGTGCAATGTCTATAGGATGAATGCCGCTCTCCTATAAAAGAGAATGAGCTGATACATGCAGGAGTGTGGAGGAATCTTAAGGACCTCATACTAAACAGAAGATGCTCAGAATCTTCTTTGAATACATCTGCATATGATTTTTGGAAAAATAAGGCGTTAATGACAGAATGTGCCTCAGTAACGTTGAATGCTGTAGGATAGAGAAGAGCTTAGAGAAAACGCAGTGCACTAGAATGCAAAAAATCTGCATGGAGATCTTCACAGCCACATCAAACTCATCAAAACGTACTCTTTAAATTTTCAATTTTGTGTATAAATTAATCTTCAATGAAAGTTATGAAAGTGGAGGGATAAGTTATATACTGTTGCTATAATATTAAACAAAGGGATCGATATAAAGTCTTTTATGGTAGTATTTGGTAAATGAGGTCATTATTTTTACTTCATACATATATAGTCATATAAAATATACTTACATCATTTCCTCCCCTCTCTTTTCTCTTTTCTTGCCTTCCAACAAACCCTCTATTGCTCTTTCTTAAATTCACAACCTCATTTTTTTTGGTGTGGTGATCACACACACACACACACACACACACACACACACACTCTCCTAACTGTGTAAATACAACCTACTCAGTGTGTTGAACGTTGCCCGTATGTATATATTTTAGTGCCCACCACTTGGTATTAGATAAGTGTAAGACCACTTCTCCTACTCCCAACATTCCCTAGTTCTCTGTAGTCCTTTGTTAAGAATTGAATGGTCATTATTTTAAATGACTTCATTTTAGTTAATTTTATCACATGGATTTTCATTCTGTGTAGGTTAATATCATTAATCTGGAATCATCCTAAACAGTTAGGTAGGAACACAACTGGAAGCATTCCCCAACTAAGACATGAAACACCTGGTAAATCCCAAAGCCATGTACTGGAGGTTGGAGGTGGTAGACCTGTAGGTGTTTTCATTGATCATTCATAGGGGTGATAAGATAGTATTTTAATATATTAAGGGATATTAAATAAGTCTAGAATTTTGTGAGGAATGCCATTAGGACATATTGGATTATCTATCAAAAAGAGTTATTATTTATAGGGTTATGAACTCTTATTGGTGACCAGAGTCTCAGCACGTATGAAAATTATGGCACATGAGCTCAAACCAAAGATACTCTTCCAGATTTCTCTCATGGAGCTTTCTACACATTGGAAAAATAGAATTATCTTAGGATCTGGATGACACAACTTCATACATTTTTCTCTGGATGCTGAAAATTTTGGCTTTGACCATTGTTTATGAAAGTATTGAGCTGTGGTCAATTACAGTGGACAGTGTTTTCTTTAAATTTCAGCTTTATATTGTGCACCTACTTCTGTTTTCCTCTGTTTTTCTTGGTTTTTGTTACTTTTTTCAGAGAAGCAGGCAAGGATAGATGATTTCTGTTAGCAAATGTGATCCTGGCTTTAGTCATGTGAAACGTGGGTTGCCAAGACTCCCCTGGCACACTCTGCTGTAGACTTTTCTGGAACTAAGAAATGTTGCAGCTAAGTTGGTGATCCATCATTTAAGCTACAATAAGTGACCTGAATTCAAAACAGGACCCTGGGGGAGGCAAACAAGTTTTCAGTATGCTTTGCAATTGCCTGCCTTCTCTTCTCTTATTCTTCAATATCTCCCCATGATTGCTCTATAATATCTACAACCTAAGAGTTGTGCTTCAATCATAGTTAATCTGCTTATATAGGGAGGGGCAAAAATTTTGCTGAGTAAGAGTTTATCATTATTTGCTTTCAGTTTGATAATATTATTGATTATTTACTTTTAAGTAATAATAAATAATATTAGTAGTTTAAGTAACAATTAAAAATTTATATTTTCATTTATAGCAATATGAAAAGCTCAAAGATAGTATGATAAATGGAGTAAGCTTTGTACTACATAATAACCTCAATACCTAATTTAAGACCTGACATGTTACAGTTCACTCTTTGCCAGACATGTGATTGCCACACTCAACTTTCTATCTTCAACCCATTGCCTCTGTTCACTATCCAGAGAAGACTAGAGAATGTATCCGACCGATGGTTCATGGATTTTTTAAATGTTTTATTATATTCAAATATATTATTTCAGTGTTTAGTTTCTTTATGTAGAATTTTAAATAACTTATATTCAAACTATACAGCTGAAGATTCTTTACATTATATCTAAATTTATCCTGTACTCTCTTTACTCTTGTAATCTTAGAATTCTTCACTCAGAGAACAAATTATACATTTAACTTCTAAATTCTTCAAACAGTTAACAGTCACATATTTGTGGTGTACCTGTTATAGCTAGGTCAATTAAAATGAATCTAGATGCATAGTTTTGTTAAAGGAATTAGGAAACACTAGATAAGACTAAAGGCCAGACCGAAAGAATCATTTTGAAAATATTTGAACTATAAAAATGCATATTCAACCAAGAAAAAATATTTTTATTCCAAAATAATAGCAACTGCATTGTTGATCCTTTCTTGTTACATTTTGTTTTAATTTTCTGCGATTTTAGAGTCCCTAATTATCTTTGCAACTTTTCCTTTTAAACACGAGCTCAAAACTTTTCAGCTTTCTCAGTGATGTCCCAGGAGCACCTTAGGCCAAGCTAATATATCACATTATAAGTTGAGGGTTTTTAAAAAATAGGTGGATCTTTATAAAGAGACCTTACATGACACTATTACCCAACAATTGCAGACAAAAGGCTTCCTTGAGAATGATTTTCTTTAAATTCATAGGCACCCAGAGAACACTTTAGCAAATACAAAATGTATTTCAGTCAAACATGTTTCTAAATTCTACTGACTTTTCTTCTCTCGAATATGAGCTGCAGATTTGTTCAGATATAAATAGGTGAGAAATTGAGTACATAATCCTTGCCAACTGAGGGAGCCTTGAGAGTTCCTTCTTAAAGATATTTGCTCTATGTCATCTCAGCTTCCTTAAATGGAGTCAAATCTATAATAAGCCACTTCTTGTGTCTGTGTGTTGGTATAAAGGAGAAAGATCAGTTACCACTAGTTGAACAATTTTAAGCCAATATTTTAAATGTATGATAGATCTTTCGAACTTACATTTTAAGATAGAATGTCAATAAAACATCAAACCATTTATGTGCCTTCCATAATATGAAAAATTGTTTTTAATAATTTTCATTTTATAGTTTTTTTACTTTTATGATTATATAAAAAATGGTCAGGTTTCTATTATTACATCAATACTAGGTAACTTGCATTAATAAAAACAGTGTATCATTTCAAATATACCTTAATGTAAGTCTTTATTGATAATAATTTTATGTTTAAGATTACTAATTTTCATGAATAGTGGGATTTTAAAGTATTTCTAAGTTAATATGGTTAAAAAAATAGTAGTCAATATAAATCAAAGCCATGTCCTTTATACTGATTTTGTTCTTATAATTTTGTGTTGAGTCAAAAATCAGTACATGTGATACAGATTAAAGAAACCTGGGCACAATCAGGTTTCTGTAAATGAACCAGTGTGAATGAAGTCCCATCAGAGAGGAAATGAGGCACTAGCAGAGATTTTCAACAGCTGAAATTGCTGTGTTAGTTACTACACATGTTTAGTTGGTTAAAGGATATCTGCACGCCTAGGACTTAATATGTGATACTTAAAATATGTATTTACAGGGCTGGGGATGGCTCAGCAGTTAACAGCACTTGTTGCTCTTCAGAGGACTTGGTTCAGTTCTCATCATTTGCCTGCAGTCTCGCAAGCATCTGTAACTCCAGCTCTGTTGGATCTGACTCTATCTTCTAACCTCTTTGGGTACCAAGAGGGCATGTGGTGCAAGTACACACATGCAGGCAAAACACTCACATAAATAACAATTGAAATGATAATAAATGTTTACGTGACTTTTTTTACTTTGAAAAGAACTATTAATTTTATTGAAGAAATTACAAACGATCATTTCATTGAGGACAGCTATAATTCAATTACTTTTGTTTCTGTTTTGAGCAGGCACACACACACGTGTCTGCATATACATCCTCATATCCTGGAGTACTACACATGATTCTCATAATGCTAAGCTCCTCAGGAAACAATAGCGCCACACAACACAGAACACAAGACGCCATGAAAGGATAATCTGTTGCCTACATTCGGTTGTCTACATTCAGTTGTCTCTATCTTTGTTTGTACACTAGCTGGTTTCTATTGATTGTCAGACTGACAGAATTTAGAGTCGCCATGGACACTTGCCATGGAGTCTACCTGTGAGGGATGATTTTGATTTCACTAATTGAATTGGGGGACCGTTCTTATCCATCTCAGTGTTATGCACTACTGTAGTATAGAAACTTATCACCTAAAATTTCAAAGTCACATCCATGCGTTCTAGTCTGTATGTGGTTGTTAAATCTGAGTTTCTGCAGAGAGAAAAGCGTGGGGGACTTTCTGTTTCAGCATATTACATATTCGAATCCTTTCTTTGCTTTTTTTTAAAAAACGTGTTTTTCATCTTAGTTCAGTTTCACAGTATGTAATTAATGTTTCAGGAAAATCTGCAACTATAAGTTTACATCTCATTATCTGAGAACCTTGAGGTGGTGCACAGTTCTTTTAAACTTAGGCGCTTTTAGATTTTAATTTATCTAACATTCCCGGAAGAGTCTGAGTCAACATGCAGGCTTAAGTACATCATCTTATTCGGGAGTATGTGTAAATATTCACACTAAATGAGATGAGCAAAGGTTACACAGAGTTTCACATCGTTCCAGATAGAAGTTTGCTGCCAAATGAATCACTGGAAAGTTCTGGAATTTATCCTAACTTCTGTACTTTGCTCTTTCAGGTTTGAAGAACTGAGAAACTTCATAGCTCTACAACCGTCCTCTGGAATAAAGCATATATTTTCTTGAAACATGAATTGTAATATTCATTTGTCTTATAAATATAATGAAAGTAGCTTTATCTAATTATTTCCCCAATGCTTGGCATACTCATTAGACTTCAAATTTGAATTTCAAGGCTAGTCTCTATAGTCTACTATTGGACCGTCGGAGATTACAGTTGCTGTGTTGGTTTTCATGCACCCTGGGAACCATGTGTTCACTAATTCTTCTAAGACAGTCTTGTGCCAATTCCTGATTTTTGCTTACTTTCAATATTTTGTTTCTCAATTTGAATACTATTCCTTTCGAGAGGTTTCCTTGAGAGAAAAACATCCATTTCTTACCAGAAAATCACCCCTGAAAAAGGAGTAAGGGCAACACTTCCTCATGTCAGTACTTCCAGACAGAAAGAAGCCTAGCAGGGATATGGGGATAAAACTCTTCCATCAGCTCAAGGAGGTACACAGCCCTGCCAGATATATGGGACACAAATGTACAGAATTTACAGATATACCACTGATATCAGCTATACCCAGGCTCCCAACTGCAACTTACAAGTAGAGAGTGCAAACAACTTCTCACAAAACAACTCACTCACCGCAGAGAAGCTCTACTACTCCAGCCAGCTCCCAAGTGTGCAACCTTCCTGTTCAGTATGGGCACAGGTGCTCAGAGCATCATCTCTGGTACAGTCACAGGCACCACCTGCGTCTTCTCCACAACTCAGTCTGCAAACGACAATTACCCTGCCTCCCGGGCAGCAACACGCAGCTGCTGTATCTGCAACACCACAGGGTAGTAGGAAACCTAATGAGACCTCACTTGAGTACAAGGGCTTCTAAACCACCGCATGACAGCTATGGAAACAGTTATAGCATTCTTCAGATGCCTGTAATCTATGCCATGCAGGTGGTAACTACACCTCCAGCCTCTGCTTCTACAAGGGATTCTTATTTGCAGCTGAACAGATCCCAGCAGTTTCTGTCAGGAGAGCGCCTATGCACAGCCAAGCAGCAATGGGTAGTAGTCTCCTACCAGTAATGCATTTACTTCCAATTGCACCATCTAGTTATGTATCCAGGTCTATAGAGCCCCAGAGCAGTAGCTACGCACAGCAGAGTTCAGACTCCCAGGCCTACTCAAGTAGTGTGTATATTTACAGATGGAGTCTAGAGAATGGACCAGAAGAGAAATGGAGGATGAATCTCGAGTCACCAAAGCAGAAGTGAGGATTTGGTTACAAGGCATAAACAAACCTTGACTGAGGAGAATGGGGTAGAACCACTACAAGACTTCCAGTTGGCTTCTCCAAGCTGAGTGTAGGGACTCTCAGAGATCTCAGTAAGGGACAACAGTTATTTATATGCAAGGATTAAATGACGACATGGATCTGAATTATCTGGCAGACTTTTTAAAGCAGTATGCTGCTATTAAGAGGAAAGTAAAATGGACAACCTTAGTCTATGAACCATATTTTTCTGGGCAAAGAAACAGGAGAGCCTCAAAGTGACGACACTGTGTCCTGTGAGGACATTCTAATTGCATAGACTACCAAGTTTCATGGGAAAAACTTTCAAGGAACCAACTAAAAATTCTCTTAGTTGGAAGAGTTTCTCTTAAAAACTCCTCTAGGTGGCATGCTGCACTTTAGGGCAGGGTGAGGTAAGTAACTTTCTGTGAAGGACAAGTAGTCCCAGAAGGTCCCAGAAGTCCTGTGGTGACTATGCAGGCACTACAAGGGAAAAAGACAAAGCCCTAAGAAGCCAGGGGAACTTCTCTAGTGAAGGATGCATGCAGGATCTGGAGCTTTAGTGGAGCATGTGAGCAGGAGAAGGTGGTCATGAAATTCTGGAAAAGTTATTAATTGTGGTTCTGAGTTGTAAGAGTTTGGGGTACACATGCATTGTAAACAAAGTCTTGGTTCTTATGAACTTAAACATAAAATGCTAGAGAAATGTCCATACAACCACTTACTTCATTGCTGTAATAAACGCATGAGTACCTGCGCAACTGGAAAAAAAAGGAAAAGAAATTCTGGAAAAGGTGACTAAAGAGGTATTCAGTGTGAGAAACATGGAACCCCCAGAGGGCAGTCTTGACTACCACATTTATTATAACAGAATGTGCAAGCTTTATGAATTCCATCTTTCAAAAAATTTGGATTGGTTCTGAGGTTCAGTATAAACAAGCAAAAGAAGCAGAGTATAAACTATCAAATGAAATGGAAAAGACACTGTGTCATTTTCAGTCCTAACCCTCAAGAAAACCTGGCAATACTCATCTTCAGTGTAAGTATCTCTCTAGGGTTCTGGATGGACTGAGAGGAGGTCAGTTGTGGCAGTAAAAAAGGCCACAGTTACCAACAGAGCTATGGAAGCCATTGTCCCAGCATCCCAGGTTACCAGCTGGAATGCTCTACCTTGTCAGGAGCTAAACATGCAAGCATCACACTTTAGATCTGTGAAATGGAGTGCTCTGTTTCCCTCAGATTCATATTGTGACCCTCACCACGAAAGTGGCAGACTATTAATATTAGAAAACACAGATATTTTATAGAGCCTTCATCTCATCTCCAACAGAGACTATGACACAGCGGACCATCAGAGGTGGCTGCGTGGAAAATGGGGAAGACAGGAGGTACCTATGAGTTTCTAGTGAGACTCTGCATGTAGTACAGTATAAGTCAAATTATTATTTAAAATGAAATGTTTATGTGCAATCTGTAATTTATTTATAACACATTTGAGCACAGGAATATTCGATAATGTTAAACTGTTAACCCAATGTGATCCAGTGGCCACCAGAGCACTGAGTCATTTGTTCACAATTCTGACTTTCATTCTTCGTGAGACGTTTGCTTGTTTACGCTCATTAGTACTGGTGAATGACAATTTGAGCCTTATTGCTTACTTAACTTAGTAGTATATAAGTAGGTCAACATATATGTGAGCAACACATTGCATACAACTTTGTATGTACTCAAACGAAAGAAAATTAAAAGCAGTATTGATGCGTTGATTTGGTTAATAAAGGTAAAACTGGCTTCCTCCTCGAATTATCTAACCATTCTGTTTTAAGTATTTTATTTGCCCAGGTAAATATGACTTGTTATTACTTAAGAAATAGACTATCCCCACATGTATAGAGGACACTCTTACGAGTTTCGAAAGTGTTACCAAAAATAATTTCTTGAGAAAAGTCATATATTAGTAAATGTTTTATTGTATGTCTCCAAAGGAAAATATTTTCAACAGATAGTGCTTTCTCTTATCTAAAATCCTGACAACTTATTATTATTCTTTAATACCATAGTCTCTATAATTGTAGATATCATCACTACTAGGAAACAGTTTTTCTAACTACATTTGTACATATAACTTACCTACATAGCGTTTTAAACTTTCGGTAGTTTTTCGTTGTGCTTACTTCAGAGCTGATTCATATGCTTGTATTTCAGTATGTAATTTGGTCTCAACTGTGATTCCCCCCCCCAGACACACACACACACACACACACACACACACACACACACACACACACA